ATTTTGTGCTATTTTCTGAAGAAAATCTTGAAGATTTGAAGAATGATTGGATTTGATTTGATCAAATCTGTTTTGGGTCTATTTCCTTCATGGTTATTATGATAAGATTTGAAGATTTATCTGAATTGATTTTATCAAATCATAAGTTGTTTTTGGCTGAAGCCCAAGCCCGTTCAAAGTGTTACTATTTATAGTCTTCACAATCCTATTTTTGTTGCTTAGAGAAGCTAGGTTAAGATAGTGCATTACGTAAGGTATAAGACTTTAGCTTCGTGTGTTTGTATTTGTGAGCCATTCACTCATCACCTTGATGTGTGAAGTAGACTGAGTTTTTGTGTTGTAAATTGTTCACTCAAAGCTTGTAAGCAAGAGTGTATTGTTCTTGATTGAAGCTTTTAAGCAAGATCAAGTATTGTCTTTGAAGAGTGTCTTCTAATTTTTATTCATTTGTTGTTATCACTGTTGTGATTGAGGGGGAGTGAGAGATGTCTCGTATATAAGGTATTTTTAGATAGAAATTGTAAGGGTAGAGATTAGGTGCGAGGATTGTAAACTAGAGAGAGTTTACTTGTATCTCCAAACCAATTCTATTTAGTGCATTTCCTTCCTGGCTTGGTAGCCCCCAGACGTAAGTGTGCTTGCACCAAACTGGGTTAACAATTGCTTGTGTTTATTTACTATTGTTAACCACCTGTTTATCTTGTTCATATATTGGTAATTGTTCAGATATCAGTGTCGTGACATCTCCTTCGACATCTCATATTTGATACCAGAATTTCACGATCAACCATGAACATGGTAAAAAGCATGTTAAAGGGGAATAACTTACCGAAAGAGTTTTGGGGATGAGCGTTATCTATAGCTGCCTATTTGTTGAATAGGTGTCCAACAAAGAAGTTTGAGAAGGTAACATCACAGGAAACACGGTTAGGATTCAAACTGAATCTGAACCATTTAAGAACTTTTGGTTTCGTAATGTATCGACATGTTTCGGGGAAACTTAGAAAGAAGTTGGATGATAAGGGATAAATGATGATACTTATAGGGTATCACCCTACTAGTGGTTACAAGTTGTTTGATTTAACAAAGATAAAGGTTGTGATTAGTTGAGATGTCATTGTCAATGAAATCAAGGAGTTGCAATAGCCTGTAACCGATTACATAAAAGCTGTAATCAGTTACAACTTTGAAAATTCAGATTCTGCAGATACGAGAAGTGCAAAAACTCTCATTGTCGAAGCCCAAATTGAAGAAATTGAGAGAAGATCAACAATGCAAATATATTTGCCTCAAAAACTCCAAGATTGTGAGCTGTTATGGGATAACGAAGTCGATGATGATGGTGATTTAATCTATTTTGCACTTATGACCGAATCTGAACCTGTTAAAACATAAGAGGCTTTAAGTGATCAAAAATGGGTTTATGTTATAGACGTAGAGCTGAATTTAATCCATTTTGGTTGATCTATCAGATGGGAAGAAGCCAATTGGTGTAAGAAGGTGTGCAATAATAAGGATGAGTAAGATGTTGATCCAACGCCATATAGGAGGTTGAGTGGATTCTTGTGTTATTTGTATAATACTTGACAAGACTTCACATTTAGTGTCGGTATTGTGAATAAATTCATGGGAGACCAAAGGTGTCTCACTTGGAAGTAGTTAAAAGGATCCTAAGACATGTCAAAGGTTCTGTCGGCTACGAAATTCTCTTTCCTGCAGTAGATACAGGTGGAAAATGCAATTTGCTCGGCTTTACCGATTCCAATTGGTACAGAGATAAAGATTATCGAAAGTCTATAGTTGAATACATCTTTATGTTAGGTGCAACACCAATCCCATGGTGTTCGAAGAAGGAATTTGTAATTGTACTCTCGTCTTGTGAGACCAAGTACATTGCTACTTTGTTATATGTGTGCCAAGCCGCGTGACTAATGAATCTATTGAAGGAGCTGGGAAGTAATGAGAGTGAAGTTGTTACACTCATGGTTGACAATATTTTTGTGATTAATCTTGCTAAGAAGTCAATTGCACATGGGAGGAGAAAACACATTGAGATGAGTTTTCACTACTTGAGAGAGTTTGTTAGTGAAGGAAAGTTAAGATTGGGATATTGTAGAAGTGAAGATCAAGCGGCTGATTTGTTGACTAAGGGAGTCAAAAATGATTTGTTCAAGAGGTTGAAGATGAACATGAACATGGAAGACTTGGAGCACTTGAATTAAGGTGATGTGTTAAAAATACTTTTGGTAACTCAAGTACTGTAATCGACTACAACAAGGCCAAAGTCACTTCTGAGCTGAAGAAATAGACAAAACTTCATGGTGTAACAAGTTAATGTCTACATGTATTCGGTTACCACTAAAAGGAAAATTGTTTTTGTGTCAGTTGTAAAAGGTTATAGGTTTTGCGTAACTAGTTACTGGCTCGAGTTTTTCTATTTTTCAGTTATGTAATTGTGTGAACTGTGTCTTAATCCCTTTTGTATTGTTTGTATAAATGCATTAGAGGTATCCTCATCTTAGTTAATAGATGAATGAAAATATTCTCACCTTCATTTCTCTCTCTCTCTCTCTCTCTCTCTCTCTCTCTCTCTCTCTCTCTCTCTCTCTCTCTCTTTCAATTTCCTCATTCCCTATACACACTCTAATTTTATCCATCATTCACCAATTTTGTAGTTCCAAGTTCCAATTGTGTGTATAGTGTTATTGATGTCATGTAGGAACTTCATTTACAATTACATTATTCTTAGAGCATAAATATCATTGAGAGTCGCAGGTAGAGTAAAGAGGATAAAAGGGTCGCAGGTAGAGTAACAATTATGTTATGAGTGATATGGAAGAATAGAAATGGGTGGTGTGGAACAAACATAAGGAAAAGGTGAATAAATTATAGATGTAGACTTTCCATAGTTGGAGGAATTGGTTCATGGTACATAAACTCCAACCGGATAATAATAATGAGCAACACACCCAGGAGAAAATCTTGTGGCAACCACCTAGGATAGGGTGGGTGAAGTGTAATATTGATGCTGAGTTTAACATCCAAAGGGGTACAAGGAATAAAGGATGGTGTTATAGAGATTGTACCGAAGGGTTTATCACGGCAGGTTTAGCCTGAGATGAAAGGCTTTACTCCATTATAGAGGCTGAGGCTTTTGCTCTTAAAGAAGCCATGATAGGAGTCATTCAATTATCATTGAGGAATGTTATTTTTTTAGAGCGACTCCTAATTGATCGTGCAAGCTATCCACGCTAACAGTGATGGTAACTCATAATTTAGTTTAATTATTTTAAGTATTAAATCGTTATTAGCAGTTCGTTTTAATTTTAAGGTTAAGTTTATTAAGCGCCAAACGAATTCGATTGCTCATTTATTAATAAAAGTGACTCATTCTTAGTTTAAGCATAATAATATTTATTTGATTATTCTTTGTATTGAATATTGAAATGATACAAGGTTGTTTGTGTCAAAAAGAAAAATATATCATTAAGAGGGAGATGATTTATTAAAAAAAAAAATGTAAATATGATTCATAAATAAAGAGGTGACTTTCCCTTTTTGTTCTATTGGTAGGACATCTAGTAAATTTGCGAGGAGAGCATACACACTTTGTAAATGATCAATAGAAACCAAACCCATGAAATTCTTAAATTCCATCCCCAAACATTAATTTAACCTCCTAGTCTCAGATTCTAATTCACGATGAAAACATAAATACCACTATTGTATATGCTTAGTTAAACTTTCATTATAATTTCGAAGTATAAGTATGATTAACCTCTTAGTTATGATAAAATACTACATTATTAAGTATTAACGGGATACAATATTTTATTAAAAGAGACTCGCTTTTACTTATTAAGTACTAGTAATTGATATTGCAAAATGTTACTAATATTTAACTATATGACAATGAACTTTCTGTTAACGATAGGTGAATCAATTAAAATAAATCATTGCAAATGAAACTAAAGTACACAATAAATGGACCCAAATGCAATAAACTAATTACTTTTCATTTAGAAAAGAGAAATCAAATGACAAAATCATATACACGTATACAAATATTCCATATATGATAATCCAATCAAAAACATGATTATAATGACTATGAGTGCAACAGGAATTTTGTTGGCCAGCATTCACTTATTCAAAATATTTTATGAGCAAAAATATAAAAAGTGACATGTTATTAAAACTAAATAAATCTTCAATTTTGAATACAAAATATTTTAGGTGGCTAAAACTATTTGAATAAAATATTTTAGAGTGAAACCAAACATAAATCAAATGTTTTGGAAAAACATTTATCTTAAAAAGTGGGCCCATAGTATTTTGTTATGTGAATCTATTCTTGCCTTGTTTTTGGTAGTCTTTTGCTCTAATATTCAACTCAAACAACACTGAGTTTATTAGTAGTAGTTGTTGTATTTCACAGTTTTGACTCCAAACAAAAAACAAAACACTATCTTCCAAATTCCCAACTTGTCAAATGTTCTCCCTTTTCCTCTATCCCTTCCAATCACCATTTTCTTTTCAATTTCCTATTTTTACCCTCTCTTCTACTTCTTCTTAGTATTCTTGGTACCTTGTGCCGTTCTGCTCATGGGCCCTAAACTCCACTGAAATTTCATCTTAACTATCAAAACAGCATCTTTACCTCTTTCAGTGCTTACCCTTTCTTCTCAATTTTGTGCTGTCTCGCATTTAGGTTGTTTTTACCCCTTTTTCAACTCACTAGATAAGATTTAGGGCATTTTATTTTACTTGATTCTTTCGCAATTCTCGATTTGGAGTTTTTTTATACCCTACATGGCTTCTCTTTGATCATGTTATTTGAGTTGGAAAGTGTAGCTCCAATTCCTTTATCATATAAATCCCAATAAAGGGTTGGTTTATGATGCTTGATTCTCTCTAATTTTGTGTTGGCTATGGTGTTTGAGGGATAAAGACTTGATTTTTAAGGTGCTTTTTTGCTTGAACCATTGAAGCTCTGGAAAATGGATAGAGTTCTTCAACCTCCTTTGGTAATTTGCTTTTACTATTTTCTTAATCCCTTTACTGATCTGATTGTTGAGCTTTACCTTGCCTAATGTGTTGTTTCAAAAGAGGTTTAGATTTATTTTTGATATTCAGTGATGACTTTTTTAGGTTGTTGTTGTGGGGATTAAGGGAAGATTTTAGGGGTTGGTTTTGAATAAGCTGGTTGTTATAAGGTGTTGAGATTTTGATCTATTGAAATTTGAATGCCACTACTCATTGAACTTTTATTCTGTTAGTCTCTTGTGAGGGCCAGGTTCAGTATCTGTGCCAATTTCTTTGAATTGCTGAGATTCATGTTCCTATAGGTTCAATATCTGATTCTTGATTCTTCGATTTTGTTTGTTTAAAATGGTGAGATATAGATTATATCTAGTGTTCGAGTTCATAAATCATAACTTGATTAACTTCATGAGCGTGTATGTGTGTGTGTGTGCAGGTTGATACTACTGCATGTTTATGTAGAGTAGATACAGGGCTTAGAACTGTTGCTGGAGCAAAGAAGTATGTTCCTGGAACCAAGCTCTGTCTTCGGCCTGATATAAAACCGTCTATTCACCCTACTAGGAACAAGCCAGCACGTGGTGACAGAAGCCGCAATCAATCCCCGTTACTACCAGGACTTCCGGATGATCTTGCTATTGCTTGCCTAATCCGAGTCCCTCGTGTTGAACACCGTAAACTTCGGCTAGTCTGCAAAAGATGGTATCGACTTTTGGTTGGTAACTTCTTTTACTCTCTGCGCAAGAGTATTAGACTTGCTGAAGAGTGGATATATGTCATCAAGAGAGACCGAGACGGGAAAATCTCATGGCATGCTTTTGATCCTGTGTACCAACAATGGCAGCCCCTGCCTCCTGTTCCTAAAGAATATTCCGGAGCTCTTGGTTTTGGATGTGCTGTTCTGAATGGCTGTCACCTATACTTGTTTGGTGGGAAGGACCCTCTTAAGGGATCCATGAGACGTGTGATTTTTTATAGTACTAGAACAAATAAATGGCACCGTGCCCCGGACATGCTTCGTAGGCGGCATTTCTTTGGCTCCTGTGTTATAAACAATTGTCTATTTGTGGCTGGTGGGGAGAATGAAGGTGTACATCGGTCCTTGAGGTCAGCTGAAATGTACGATCCCAACAAAAACCGATGGTCATTTATTTCAGATATGAGCACTGCAATGGTTCCTTTCATTGGAGTTGTCTATGACAGGAAGTGGTTCCTTAAGGGACTTGGTTCTCATCGACAGGTTCTTAGCGAGGTCTATCAGCCAGAGAATGATAGTTGGTGCCCTATTCAAAACGGAATGGTTTCTGGCTGGAGGAACCCTAGCACTACTCTTAACGGAAAGCTTTATGCTTTAGACTGCAAGGATGGCTGCAAACTTAGGGTTTACGATGACGCCACTGATTCGTGGAGCAAGCATATTGACAGTAGAATGCATTTGGGAAGCTCACGGGCTTTGGAGGCTGCTGCTCTCGTCCCCCTCAACGGGAAACTCTGTATTATCCGAAATAATATGAGCATTTCTCTAGTTGATGTTTCAAAACTCGAAGATTTGAAAGGATCTTCTGCTGAACAGTTATGGGAAACTATTGCAGGGAAAGGACATTTCAAAACCTTGGTCACAAATCTGTTATCTAGCCTTGCTGGTAGAAACCGACTCAAAACTCACATAGTTCACTCTCAGGTTCTTCAAGCTTAAAGGTTGCATAGCGCTGAAAAATCTACTACGAGTTTTGTCACAATCTATACATGAAAAGGTTCGTCAAATCTTACCAAAACACATAGTGCACTTCAACGCCGCATTCCATCTCAAACCCTTCCCCGCTAGAGGTGATATATCGATGATATGTATACTAGTCTATAGTGCCGCATACATTGATACACAACTGTTACATTTTGAAAATGTAGTAGGCCTTTCACCATGTCTCATGGTTTATCTTTAGCCTTTTGTTTTATGTTGCTGCAAACAATGTATAACATAAAGAAGAGTGAGGGTCAGTTTGGTATTCTCATAAAATTGAGGGTGAAAAATTCAAGAACAAGGTTTGAATATAAATTTTCATGTAAAACTCATCTATGAATTTTTCACCCTCATTTTCTGCTGCGACTACCAAATGTTTGTCAACTCTAAATTATATATATTTACAGCTCTTGCAATGCAGATTCTTATACGTGTAAAAGTGGTATTGACTTGAGCCTTATGTTTTGTACTATATGATAAAAGTCTTTTTGGATGAAAATTTGCAACCTTCAAAGTCTAGTTTGGAGTGTGCAAACATTTACTATCATGTTTGACTAAATTGTGGTTGGATTGTGAGTGAATGACTATTTGTTAGTGATGTGTAAGTTTGTATCTTCTTCACATGTTAGATATGCAAGCAATGAATGCATTAGGTTGGGTTAGGTGGCTAATGCCACAGCTGAATTGTCTTGATGTGGATTATTATTAGTACTAAGAGGATAATTTATTTATGATGATGATTTTTTCAACAACTCTTGGAGTCACTTCAGTAAACATCATTGAAACTGATCCATGCATACCAGAACTGAAAGAGGCAGAGGCATTAAAATGGTATTTAGTATTGATAGCATGCAAATGGCTCAAAATATTTAAGTGTGGACAAATGAAACTTAAAAGATCAACTAAATACTAAAGGGATTGAAACTCTACAAAAAGTACTTGTATCATTTATTTGGCAAAATAAGTGAAGACCAAGCATTTATCATGGCATTCACCCAAATGCTACAGCCTAAGAACGCCTTCGGACCCTTTTCCGTTATGCAACAATACACACAACTGCCAAGCAACCCTATTGAATCAATTGAAGTGTGGAGCGCGGAAAAACAAGGCGCCGCAGCGATGATCTAATGTTTTGGGTGATTATGTATTATCTCTTTCACTTGCGTGTTGCTCTTAATTTAATATAAATGTTTGTCTTTGTATCAAAAGTCTTTCTACTATGGTGGTGGTTAGATAGCGTGTTCAATTGAAGTTCCTGTAACATGGTAAGGGTGTCAACGACGATATAAATTTATGTGGATAAAAAAACTTCTTCTTGAAAGAGAATATAGCTTGAAGGAGAATATAGTGAATGGACTTACGTTTGAATGAGAGATTGTTGAGATACAAGTAAGACTTGAAAGTCCCACATATTTTAAGATTTTATGCAGATGCGTCGAATCATTTGTATCAATGTCAAAAAAATGCTTGAACCCAAATAACATAGTTCAAATGACACAAGGGCATGATTCAAATTATGTTATTTTATTATCCTTATTATGATTCAAATAAAACATGTTAGTGACAAAATCATTTTTAAAATAAAATATGATTCAAATAAATTTTATAATGATCTGAATCAAATTATAAAAATGAATTAACCGATTGACTTCATTTGAATAATTTAAAATATAATTTGAATTAAACGGTACATCTTTGAAATTCAAAATGCAACACCCGTACGATTTGAATCACCTAGTTAGATTTGAGAATTTTTTAAAAAAGATAATCATATTTTTTAAAAAATAAAAAATAACAATATTTTCAAAAAAAATTAAAATTAAAATAATCATGTTTCTAATAAAAGGAATTCGCAGGTAGTGGCGAATGCACTCGTGTTTTGACCTAAGGTGTCATAGCCTATGGTGCATGTTCTTAGGAGTAGCCAATGGATGTGACACATGCATTCAACTTTTAGGTGCATGCGCCATTGCTTGTAGCTCTTGTGTCGTTTTGGTTTTTTCATATATAGATCATTTTCTCCCCACTATTTTTCATCTATCTTCTAGTTCTCTCCTTCAATTTTTTTTTCAAAATATTGTGTTATATTATCAAGAGAAATGTCAATTTGATTTATTCAGAAGTAAAACCTCTAATGAAGATCTGACTCTAGAACACGAAGACTTTCGAACATCTTTATAGGTGCTTGATCCATTGGTTAGATAGAGACATTGTAGACGATAAAAAGATCAGAAGAATTCAAAAGTTTGTTATGGTCTACAATAATAATGGAGAAAGTTGTATCTGAAAGTCAGTTAAAAATGACAATGATTGTCGTATTATGATGGGTAGTTCAGAGAAAATTGTCCAGATAGTTGTAATCACATAAATATGTTCTTTAGTCATTGTATTTGTTTATCTTGTTTTTTAGTTGTTGTTTAAATTGTTGTAACCGAATGTTGTGATATTTATGAAAAGAACTGTGTTTTCAATATCAAATAAAATGGTTACATAAGATGAATTACATATAAAATGCAGGACTAAAAGTGGATTATTGAATTATATTGTGAAACTTGCTCCAACATTCGGACAATCTGTACGATTGTGTCTGGACTAACGGCATAAACTACATAATTTCACCATTTTGTTCATCGTATCCATTTTGGTTCGAATACGTGTGATGTTAGGGTGATCCTTTTTCTTTCTTCACATATCTTTATTGTGCCAAACTATGTCCCTTTGATATGTTGGCCAATAATTTTGCTTTGCTACCACTGTAAAGCTATTGTTGTACATATTGCATAAGCTTATGACTATGTGAATGACAAATAGTAAGTTAGAAAGGTCCTGTCGAGCATGTGAACATGCCGCTATGACATGGGAACAAGACATACAGAAATCTTTGAACTTTTCGCAATTGCACCAACCTATATCTAGTTCAACCTAATAATATCCCCTAGGCTTCCCCTTATTGTGGCACATTGCCTCGTCTACACTGAGCCAACCTTTACGACAATCTAACATTGTGACCACATTGTGTTACTTTGGCAGCTTCCTCCTTAATAAATTTCATAGAAGTTTCACTGAACAACTGTCTTGATTGTAACACTGAACTCTATTTTGAACGTCTGATTTCAAACAATAACCCTAACCTAAAATACGTTGCTTTCACCAAAGCGATTATCAATAGGTTTAAAACGCCTTTAAAGACAGAGTTCATTGATTCCACGAGATTCGTTGTCACGTGGCCCCCTTGTTGACCATTGTCGAATGCCCTGATCCATTTCTCCACTGGAGTGTTATCGATCCACCTTAATGCATCTGCATTTGTCAATCTGATCTCTTTGCGATAGTGTTTGAATGAAGGTTCTGTTAATGCATACCTGTTTGAACTGCAGTATAGCGGCAATAAGCAAGAATTCCCTTCAGGTTTTATTGTCTCCACAGGGATCGATGCAATGGAAAAAAATGTAATTAAATGGTCTATATCTCTTTAAGCTTGGGTTTGAAAGATTTGAATTTAAAGCTACACTATGTAAAATGAATGAAATAAAACTATAAAGTATCATCTGAGGGACAAGAGAGCTTGTCAGGATTGAATTTCATCCACCGCTCGAATACGTAAATCTACTAATCAGTTGTACGTAATCTAAAACATTCATCAGTATCATCACGTATCGCTCACATCAACGTCCATGTCTGAAACGCCAACGAGAGTTCAACCGTATTCTCTAATCGGCAATCTCTCAGCCTATCAAACCACACAGAGCATTAAGATTTGATACTTGCACGAATTTTAAACCTAAATCTATGTCTAGAGTTTAGCGTCTAACAAATGTTCATCCTAGTCCCAGATATGAAAAATATATGTCTATAACGGTTCAAATCCAAATATAAACAGGTAAGCAAAGATGACATTGATATAGATTTATGAAATAGATCATATACATCGTCGTGATTAACAAAGATACATACATTTTATAAGTAAACTTACATAGAATCCCTAACAAGAGAGATTACAAGAAGAAGAAGGAAGAAGAACAAGCTTCGCTCGCGGTGTCCTAACAATTTCGACGAATCCAACTTCGGATCTTCAAGATTCACCCACTCTTGTTATTTTATAAGCCTTTAACTCTATAGAATCATATTTAATCAATTATGTATAAAATGCCCCAAAGATGTGTAAAAAAATCTATGAAGAAATGAATATATACATACTAAAATTTCCTGCCTCACCCGGCGAGCTACATCTCGCCCAGCGACAGTCACTTTATTGCATGGCAAGATTTTCCATAGACGAGGTTAAAGGGATTCGTTCCTATAGAAGTTATATAGGTCATTCTGTTGGCCCAGAGTGCGTCACTCAGCTTAGTCGACCAATCCTTTCTCGAGGTGGAAACCGTTTTTTCTAGAATCCTCTTAATCTCACGATTTGAGATTTCCACCTGACCGCTTGTCTGCGGATGGTAAGGGGTCACTACTCTTTATTTAACTTCATACTTAAGTAAGAGGTTTTCAAAACATATGGAAATGAAATACGAGCCACCATCGTATATGACTAACCTAGGAGTTCCAAACCTGGGGAATATAACATTATTAAACATCTTAGTTACGACATTTGCATCATTGGTTGGAGAGGCAATGACCTCAATCCACTTAGATACGCAATCCACAAGAACAAGTATATATTTATTCCCATTTGAGGATGGAACAGTCCCATGAAATCTATACCACATGTAGCACCCCAAAATTTATTCATCTTCTATTGTGTTTTTGGCTTATGTTTCTTTGCATTTTCATATTCATGTTTGCATAGCATTTGTTCTTGGCAGGGGATCAAGGTATCATGGTTTGTTTCTCAAGCAAGTAGGTTATTTTTCTTCAAGTTCAAGCAAGGGGTTCTCTAGAGCTCTGTGGTGTTCCCAACCCTATAAGTCCTTCATCATCAAGTGTGGTTCAAGACAACATCATTCCAACAT